TTACTAAATTCATCAGATATTTGTGTTGTATAAATAAATGATCACATTTAATTTTCGTGTCAACGCTTTTATTTATTTTTAATCAATGTTTCCTAATGGCATAGAATCAGTGACAACCCTATTTAAATCGTTTAGTTGGATTGTTCAGAAGTAGTCAAATCCTGACAACTTCCTAACAAAATTGGTCAAATCCACACCTTGGGAACAGAACAAGTGAAATCCGTTTTTTAATCACTGTTTTCCCTGTAAATAGAAGCATTAACTTTATTTCTGTTATTTCTTAATAATCCTGAACTTCATAGCAATGTATACTTACCACTTACTAATGAACAGCGTTCATCATAACGGCATACAAAAGTTCTCTTTTTTCAATTTGGCATAAAATGGATGTTATTGAAAATTACCTCCCGATTTATTATAGAAAATTATATCAATGTCATAAAAATAAATATACGTTGTCGTCGTCCAGATAGTTTTTTCTCTGTATATTATTCACTCATGTGATAATATAGGTATATAAATGATGATGATAGATATACTATTTATGATTTTTAGATAACACGTGACGCACGTCACGTGTCATTTAGAAATCGACTTCCGTAACGAACGCTCGATTCTGACTATATACAGCCACTCGCGCTCTTATTGCCACTCCTTTGACTCGCACCCAAAAAACCGACAAAGCAAGGAGCGATGGTCATGACGAGTATTGTGGCCACACTATATCTCTGTGTCCTTTCCTCGCTACTTCCTAAACCACTCGAACAATGTGTGGCCAGGGGGTTATATCTATGTATTTAAAACCTTTTCTTCTTAGAACATGTTATAGTTATATAATCGCGTATTCTAATACCTTCCGGTTGAAAGAGTGGAATGACCTGGATTGGCCTAGAAAGTTCTAGTATTCCTCTTTTCGAATATAAAAGCGCGTGCCGGCGATTGAACAAATAATTATTTCGTGAAAGTGAACTTCTAGGGACGGCTAATCAACCTCGTCATGTATGATTATTAAGGACCTCAACGACAATGCTTAGCGATTTTGGACGACGTATTTGTATAGTTGCTGTGTGTGTAAAAGATTACATACATTTCTCATCCTAATCGACTTTTTACTCACCCCGCATGTAACTATTATATTGAAAAAGTTGAGTAACAGCCTGTATACGACCCATTACTTCTTTGTGCAGGCATTTTATTTTACTCTTCTTTTTGGTTTTTATAGCAGGATAAGGAAATAGGGACTTTTAAAAAAGGTAAAAAAATAAAAAAATAATTTAGTGTAAAAGATTCACTATATTGTTCTGTACAGTCCTCAAATCCAAAACAATATCGTTCGATTACACGCACTCCTTAAAAATAGTCCTCATTCATTACCGTCGTTATTTGTATCTTTCAACATTGCATGGAAATATCCTGGAATTGTTTAGAGTTGCTCAAGTACATACAAATTTCACAATAGTACGATTATCATAAACTCAATAAAAATAACAGGTTATAAGCAAAATAGATGATAGTCAAACGTTATATAAAAGTTTAAACAATGGAGTCTAAAATCTGGACTGAAACGCATTGTTTACTTTTATTTGCTGTTTAGATATATTATTTGTAAAATCTACGTTGGGTTAAAATATCGCAAACGCAGATTGAACGAAAAAAAGTTAGCCACTACGGGCAGCTAATGTTCACCTAAAAAATTTAAATAATCGGTAACAGGAAAATACAATATTTACAATGTTGTAAAAGTGTAAAACATAATATCTCAAGAACGGATGCCTAATCCGATATACAGTACCTATCTTATTGTGAGTCCTTAAAGTAACTGTACATAGAATGTAAGCAAAAACACGAGGCATATCTTGCACAAAGTAATCGAATTTTGTTTACTTAACAATTAGTTGAAGTAGTTGTAAAATTATAGATGAATATTTTTAATCGATTTCCATCTTAAATACATATTATACTGAAATAATTGATGAACATAACAGTAAAATATTGGTAATGCAAAAGCACTTTAACCATATACAATTCAATAAAATTAAAAAGACGATATAAATATTTCTTCAGTGAACGATTTTGGTGATAAAACCCAACGTATAGCGTTATTTTCAGATTACACCGTTGATCGGGATGTCCCAGACGTAACCGAGACTACAGAGTTTTGTACACAAAATACTTAGTGTCTATTACTTAAAACTTTAAGTACTATCACGTTTGCAGTCCTTTCGATATAGGTACACAGTTTTTCTTGATGTCCCATATATTGACAATTTTCAAGCGCCACTGAGTTATTATGCTAGTTGAGTTAGTACGTAGTTCGTAATCGCTCAATGTTAAGCCCCCATTTTCATTGCAATGTCACATATTCTCCTTGTTCAATTATTAGCAAAATATCGATCATAATCTAATTTCGACAGATTGTTACTGTTTAAAAAAAATATAATTTACTAGGTAACTATGTACATTTTTTTTTGGACACGTAATAAAATATCATTCATACGTCGTCTCTCATATTTAATCTATATTCAAAACGCTAGCTTACGATATTACACAATTATGTTAACTTCCCTCTTGAATGACTTAAATGTAACCCTAACACTAGTTTTTGTTCCTATAATTAACTTATATTGCCAAATGATGCTTGTAGATAAGGCCACATCTTTCAATTTGACCTTAAATTAGTTGAAAAGGAACAACGGTCGTAGCACGAGCTCGATATAAAATAATGCAGTCGTTCGCTAAACAATCTACAACAAAAACAATTTAAACAAAAAATTAAAACTATCTTAATACTAACAACAATTAATATCTTACACCTGAAGGACTTCTTGCCAGAGATTTATAGAATTTCAACATAAAATTCAACAGCTGAATATTTTTAAACTTTATCAAGGTTATAAAATAACCATATAGTGCCAAAACATTAAAATTTTATCACTGGATGATCAATTATAAAAACGAATCTACTAATACGAGTTGATGACTCAACTCCGAGAGGCAAGATAAGTAATTCGAGTAATATTTTGGTAAACACTGAGTTCGAAATACACTTATTCTGTAACATATATGTATTTAAAACATCCAGTAATGTGAGACTGAAAAGAGAACTGCAAACTTATATTGTTAAATATACAACAGTCGGTATAGGTTTTTAATACAGAACCCAGTGTATATATCTAAATCGTTTGTAAATAGAGCCTATTCACATGAACATATGCGTGACTGATGAGTGTTTTTTTTAAATTATTATTTAACAGAAAATATCATATTGAAAATCCGCAATTCTAATAGCTTTATATAAAAAGTAAAGTTACAGCGTAAACGAGTACAGGCTTACTCTCTACCTGAACGTGCTGAGGAGTAATTGGACTATTGCGTGTCCCATGTGCACAGTGTGGACTTAACACGTCCACGAAATATTTCATTTCTTGGACATGCAGACTTCGCTGCGCTCGTGGTTATATAATAGCTATATAAATTGAATTCATTTTAAGTTAAAATCTTAGTTATGACTTAACAAACAAAAAATCCTGAGACAAACTTCGTCGTTATTTACGATTTATTTACTTGTAAGTTGTGCAGTTTATAAAAAAAATATACAATTATTTGTGTGAATGGCAGCGACGACGCTCGTGTGAATAAGCTCTAAATCATTACTTTGATTTTAAAAATAATAGTACCATCACGAATTTAAACTTCTAAAACATTACTATATGCTTCCAATCAGATGATTATTATTTTAAACCGTTAGTTGATAAAGGTTGGTTGAAGTAATATTGAACTAAATTTATTAAAATGGAGACACAAAAATATAACACTTTTAAATAAATAAAATAATTGTGTGTAAATGGTGGAGACAAGGCAGAACAGTTCATAAGTAAAGCACATAGAAGTTGCTAGGCCCCGTAGCAGATTTATAGGGAAGCTTTTTACGCTCCAGCGTCAGACTAAAGTCTATAAGATATCTTGCCGCCAAGATTTTAAGGATCATCATCATCATTATTATTGCAGCTTATCACAAATCAACTGCTGGACGATGATAAGATGGATGCAAGTGCAGCAATTTTTATACACTGAGATGGTCCACCTTATCTCTAACCTAGCAACCGCATTAAAAAAAATATCATTGTAACTATTAATTTCATTTATTTTTATGTATTTTACAATTCTATTCTCACTCGTCTACTTAGTCTGTATTAAGAGGATACCTTGAAAATGAATCGAAGTTTTGGGGGCGTGGCTTATTCCTTTGTCGGTAAAGCTAACGGACGACTGCAGGAGTGTCAAAATGAAAGTGATGCAATGACTCATAGTACGCAAATTATGAGATAGCCATACCGAGCAAGCGATCGGAAAAAAACTAAGTAAGCGCCAAACAACATTTTTATTTATTTACTAACTAAAACTTCGTTAATGTATTAAAAATATACTCGGGTTTAACAATGACATCGGGACACTTAGATGCACGAATATTTACTCATGCTTTAAAAAAAAAATAATTCTACGAAATTATTCGTAAAAATATTGTGGTGTCATCAAGAAATGTAAATAATTAGAGCCTAATTTGCAATTTTTTTCTATCGAGAAAATTACATGATATCGTGTATTCCTTTTATGCAAACCAAGGTCATATAGTCAAATATCATATACCAAAACCAAACCATTTTGGTTTGTAATCTATAAAACTTAAAAAAATATGTTAAATAGAAAAACCACTAAATTTTCGAGGTATCATCTTAATAATAATAGCAAATAATAAAAGTAACTTTATAATTATATGGTAATATTCAAAGTATAATAATATGTATATATATTTAAAAGGAACTCATAAAATAAAAAGTTATCTATCAATCTTTATGTTTTCTTTTACTAATTCATATTACTGTCAACCAATTACAGTTCAATAAGGAATAAACGTTAAATAAAATAAAAAAATATCATCGATGATAATTATAGTGAGTTGTCGTGACCTTTCAATTTCTTTCAGGTGTGGTTTTAGAAAATTAACACTTGAAATCCTCTTCTGCTTCATACTCTTCCTCTTCATGGACTTCCGGTTGCGACTGCTGCTGCTCTAATGCTTTTTTGTAGGCTGTCATTTCCTACAACACAAAGCAATGAAATATTAATGACATGAAATCTGAAATAAGAGATTTTATGAGTCTCTTTTTGAATAAGCTTTTGAGCTTCGCGTGTATCTATGTAACGGAATTTTTTATGTAATTTTCACCAACTTGTAGGCGGCCGATTCACTTGAAAACTTGGACTCGTATCTAGTACCGATGACAATACAATAATTTAATAACTTTATCCTGGTATCCAGATTAGGATAACCAGGTTAAAATAAACAATTATCAGGATCACCACAGCCAATGATCAATGCGTGTTTTTTAAGTTTTTTAAATTCGTCTTTTATTGTTATAACATTAAATTAAGGCACTTTACACACGGTCCCGAGAGCCGTGGTAGCTCAAATGGTTAACGCTCGCTGTAAATATAACAGAACGCGAGTAACCCGGGTTCGATCCCCGCCGGCACCAATGAAATTGTTAATTACAATTTTAAGTGCTGATTTACCATGTGCTCTCGGCGGTGAAGGAAAACATCGTGAGGAAACCTGCATGTCATGTGCATGACCTTGCATAAATACTGCCTCATTGGTCTAGTCGTTGCAGTAGTGCTACTGCTGATCGATGCATGAGGCCCTGGGTTCATCCCAGATCGGGTCAAAAAATTATTATCGAGTTTTTCCGTCAAGAAATTCTCAGTAGCTGCCCGGAGGCAGGAAGTTGGCGGTGTCTCACTTTCGTGCCTCGGAAAGCACGTAAAGCCGTTGGTCCTGCGCCTGATGTCTCTCCTGTCGTGTCGGTTTACCATCCCATCGGACTATGAGAGTGCACCTGTGCTTGCGCATACACTTGGGCACTATAATCCTGTCCTGCGCCGACGGCTAGTCTCCGTTGAGGCTGGCCACCGTGACCGAAATTCGGTCCGGAGGACATTACATTAACCGTACAGCTACAGAACGTACAGCTGTGTTAAGGTTGTGTTAAGGTGCTTAAAAAAAATAATAAGTAGCTACTATGAGCTCATGAACTTACAAACAACTTTCAATGAAGAAGTCTACAGATGTAATGCCACCACAGACTGTATTGTAGTAAATTTAGAGAGAGAAAAAAAGATAGTTTATGATATTTTCGGAAGTGAGTTTGTAACTACACTAAAGCAGACATGGCATCGCATGCACAGCCAATTTTGATAGGACATAATCGAATTTATACCACCAACTATCAATCATGAAATCTTTATGGTATTTTCCATAGTCATCATCTTTGAAATGAAATCATATTACAAAGTATAACTACCTCTCCGTAATCTCTTCAGTGTTAAATCTTTTAAGTTCTGTTAAAAACTCATTCAGTCTGACGGCCTCTTTATTTAAGTTTTATTTATTCACTTTCACTTGAAATCTTTCCTCTGTTTCCTCTTCCTTTTACTCTGTTTCCCTTATATACCAATATGTTGTTAACACCCTACTACACATTTACAGTTTTTTGTTTGACTGAAAACCAGTTTTTTTTTTATTTCGGTCAGGTTGTTTTTTTTATAGGATAGGGATATGGTGAAAAACGAGCACACAGCCCACCTGATGGTAAGTGGATGCTGCGGATATATACATAGACATCTACACTCTATCCTCGATTACAAATCAAAATGCAGGTGCGTTTTCACTCGTGAGGACTAAGATGGAACGCCTTGTTTCCAGTAAAAAGGGTCTCCGGTTCACTACACTCACCATACGAAACACAGCAGTATTACGCTGCTATTCTACGCTGGTATTCTGTGAGAACGTGGTCCTGCCCCAGTCGAGCCGACCCATTCGTGTTACAACTATAATATTGCTGTAATGTGACTCTACTACGTAAATGCTAAGACCTAGTGCATAAAAGAGAGGTAAAGCGCGACTTCAGAATGTGAAATTATTTTATAATTTCCAGTTGTTTGATATCGGCATTTACATTTTATTAAAAGGTATTTTTTATCCTTTTGAGTGGACTAAAGAAAGTTGCAATTTCCATGTTGTCTAAATTTTTTTTAATTTTTTTTTGTTTCTAGTTCTAAGTACATAATACAAACTGTGAACACAGTTTGTCGGCAGCAGCTCGAGGATACACATGATTATATGTACGACATACTTATGTAAAGAGCACAAAAAAGAAAAAAAAAACAAAGCTTTTTAACTACCTAAAGATTGCAAAAGAAAAATGTAAAAGAAGTAAAACAATATTGATTTTCTTAACCTGTATACAACTATGGGCATAGAGACGAGTAATTCTTTCTTAGAGTATTTTTTTAAAGTTATTTTTACATTTTATGTTCCTCATTAGATCATGAGGTATCTGGTAAATAAGTCCAAATAGTTACATTAAAATGTTAATGACTATTTTATCACACATAGGCGCGGATTTTTTCTTCTAAATTTATATGGGACGAACCCAGAAGTATAATCTATTAAATTAAAAATCGGATCACAATGATCCACGTCTTTGTTTGCCACTAGGGCGACGCCACTTAGGAATGAGGTGAAATATCCAACAGATAACATAGCGGGGAAGGTTAATTTGTTAAAAAAGTGTAGAATTAATATTTTCTCCTGATATATTAACTACATTTTATTAAATGTAATTAAAATTTCGGAAACTACAAATACTCCTTTAAAGACAAAAAAAGTTTAAGTTTGTTGAGGTTTAGGATTCTTTAATTGAAAATGAGATTTTCTTTTTGCACACAAAAACGTTTTTACTTTATTCAGTATCACACACAACATTACACAGATACAGAATAACACTCTTTAGCTTAGCTCATTCTTGTAGGGCGAAATGCATATCGACGTCATTCGACGTATTATCGACGTCAGTAGTTCGTATTTTCTAATATCAATCTTCTGGTTGTGTGATAATAATGATAATAAAATATAATGTTTCTCACATAACTAATATAGACACAAATTTTATTGAAAATCTTTAACCTGTGGTAGTTGAAAACAGTTTACACTCGACATACTCAGTGCTCTGCAAGTAATTGTACGAAAGATGTATAGTGCTCTTCAGACTAAGTAATACACACAACGAGCAATTACTTAGTCAATACTGCACAATAAATAAAAATAATTTATAGCGAATAATAAATAAATATTCGACGTATATTTTTTATTTATGTTCACCAGATTCTCGGAAACGGTTAAACGACTAAAATTATTCTTTTTTAATATATTATACCTGGAAACTAGGTTAAGTTTTCTTGTAACTATTCAGATTAATTTCTTTAGAACGTCAAGAATTTGGAGCACCCGTAGCCCCACCTCCCTCATGATTAGAAATATTAAATAGGTCAGAAGTTTAGAAAAGTTAAAATTAAACGCGATAAAATTCTTTTACGAGAAAATCTTCAGAAATCGACTGTTGCTTCTCCCACAATAAATCTTCATATATTATGCTCGAGCCGTAGTAGCTCAGATGGTTAGCGCTCGCTGTAAATTTCACAGCAAACCGAGTTCTCGCCGGACAATTCCTTGCCCTAAAACCCACTCAGAACGGAGGCCTGTGCCCAAGAGTGGAACGTATGTATGCTGTAACTTTAACTTTTATATTATCCTCAGTACTCACCCTATCATATCTCGCCTTATCCTGTTCTGACAGCGATTCGTATTTGGACTTAATTTCGGGGTCAGCAGCAGCCCAGCGTCTGCCCAGTTCCTTGGCGATGTCGCCCATTGTGTACTCTGGATTGTTGGCTTTCACTTTCGAACGTTCGTCATTGCAGAACCAGAAGAATGCAGATCTGCGTATAAATATAAAGCATATCTTATATTTAGGTGTATAATGCATCAACAATGATGATTAAGATAATTAGACGTCTCCACAGCACACTGTTTGCATGCATTGCATGAATTTCGGCGCTGAGTGCCGCGAGTTCGAATCCCGCATGGAACAAGTATTTTTGTGGTATATATATATATATATATATATATATATATATATATATATATATATATATATATATATATTGTGCAATTTATATATTGTGTATTACTGTCTCGTTGGTCTAGAGTTTGTAGTAGTGCGACTGCTGATCATGAGGTCCTGGGTTCGAATCCCGGGTCGGGCAAAAAATTAATTATTGAGTTTTTCCGTCAAGAAATTCTCAGTAGTTGCCCGGTAGTTGTCAGGAAGTTGGCGGTGTCTCACCCCCGTGCCTCGGAAAGCACGTAAAGCCGTTGGTCCTGCGCCTGATCTCTCTCCGGTCGTGTCGGTTTACCGTCCCATCGGATTATGAGAGTGAGGGAATAGAGAGTGCACCTGTGCTTGCGCATACACGTGGGCACTATAATCCTGTCCTGCGCTGATGGCTAGCCTCCGTTGAGGCAGGCCGCCGTGACCGAAATTCGGTCTGGAGGACATTATTATTATTACATTATGTGTCCTATATGATACAAGAGAAAGTCCTAACGTTGAGGTAACGTTTTTTGAAAAGAAAAAATAATAAGTCCTCCCTTCAATGGGACGGCCCCATGTTCAGCAATGGCCTTTTACAAGATGATAAATAAAAATTAAGAATTTGCCGTCAATTTCATAATGGTGGTAAATGGATGAGATTAGAGTTGTTTTTCTGTTTTTTCTTTTTATTATTAATTGTGATATTATTCAGTACACATACACTGGGCATATGACAAGACAGCACCAGCCAGTCAAACATTCCTTGGAACAGAGGCTCATTACTCAGCATGCGCGAGAGGCGAGTTGGTAAGTGCAAACCTGATGTCCTCGCACCAGCCATATTATGTATCTACTGGATGAAGTAATTTTTTCTATAGCATTTGGTGACAAACGAACACACAGTCCACCTGATGGTAAGTGAATGTTGTGGCCCATAGACATCCACATTTATCCACAATTGAGAATCAATATGCAGATGCGTTGTCACCTGTTAGGACTAAGATGGAATGCCTCGATTCCAGTAAAATGAGCCTCCGGTTCTATACACTCACCATACGAAACACAGCAACATTACGCTGATATCCTGTGAGAGCGTGGTCCTGCCCCGGTCGAGCCGACCTATTCGTGCTACAACTATAATTTAGCTGCAGCGTGGCTCTACAAAGTAAAGTAAACACCACATTACTTTATCAATCCAAAGGAAATCCAACATCCCAATTTTGTCTCGTGGGTGTCGTAAGCTTCCGATAGATGGCGGTATAACCATCTCGTTGACGCCATACAAAGAATATCCAGACCGGGCGACAAGTAGAAGTGTTAACATTGCGAGTCGCCTGGCACTTAGATCGTTAACCCGTCTGTCAAGTGTGACTATAAAGACAAATCCTCCTCAAGATACCTTGAAAATCATAGAATACTATAATACACAATAGAATGGCTGTCAACCTTTTTTTGTACGAGGAATTGCGTCGCCGGGAGCACACATACAAGCAATTACGTCGTATTATCAGTTAATCACTACTACAAACCCGATCCGCTGTGTTGACAGACGGATTTTAATACATATTTATTTGTAAATAGCGTGCAATTTGGCATTTTCTAAATAATTTGCATGCGAAATTTAGAAACGATTGTAACGTCAAAACACATCTCGTGTTGACATTTAATACGTGTGAATTGACGTGTTAGTGGTATTTTAGTGGCTACACGGGCTCCGCCCATTCCCCCGTTCTATTATGTATGTATTATAGTATTCTATGTTGAAAATAAATCGTAGTTTTGAGGGTGTGGCTTAGCCCGTCGTCGATGAAGCTCACGGACGACTGACGGAGTGTCAAAATGAAAGTGATGCAATTACTTCATAACTGTACCGAGCACGCGCTCGAAAATAAACTACGTAGGCGCCAAACAACACGTTCATTTTTTTTTTAACAAAACTACGTTATCGATTTAAAAAAAATGTTTATGTGAACTTAGACATTATGATTTATTTATCATGCTTTAAAAAATTCATGCACCAATTCGTATAAATATCGTTGTGGCATGGAGAAATGTAACTAATTAGAGCACTACCTCAAAATATTTCCATCGAGAAAATTACATGTAATCGTGTTTTCTTTTTATGATATTCAATATCATTTAACACTTACTTATCCTAAAGCGCCTAAAGAGCCTTATTTCAATATTCACCATGCAATGAGATGGATTGAGAGATGAATGGTAGTCAAGCATATATCTTCCTATATCTTGCTGTCATAGCTTGGGCAAGCAATTGGGTATGGTAATAGAGCCACGCTGAAGATATATGGTCGAAGCACGAATGGATTGGTTCAACCGGGGAAGAACCACGCTTTCACGGAATATCAGCGTGAAATAGCAGCTGAAAGCTGCTGTATTTCGTATATTCATTTCTTGTGTGCAGAGAACTAGAGACCCTTTTTACTGGATAACGAGGCATTCAATCTTAGTCCTCAGGGGGTGAAAATGCACCTGCATTTTGATATTTAATCTAAGATGGATGTAAATGTCTATGGACTGCATCCACATACTATCAGGTGGACTGTGTACTTTTTTGTCATTCTATAAAAAATCCTTATAATATAGAAAAAGAAACAAATATAGTAAGTAAAGTTCGAGACCGTAACTCACAGCGATCTTTTGGGCGCATTCGGGTCCTTCACTTGATGGCGTTTGCGCCCGCGCACTTTGACGTCTTTAGGCGGCACGTAATTCTGCATCTCCAGATCGTAGCGTTGCTTATCTTGCTCTGCCATGTCGTGGAACCTCTGCTTCTCTTTCTTCGACATTGTCTATGGAGAGAACATTATAAAATTAAGTTTTTAAGAATCTGTAAACGTAATGAGGATTCTCCAACGTTTTCTGCAAATGCCAATGTAAATTAAAGCTTTTATAAGCTATGTTAAAACAACAACCCTCTAATTAGGCGGGCGATTGAAAAATGGCGATATTTCCATACGCAAAAGATGAACCCTAATCCCATAGACTGATGATGGGAAGTTTATTATCAGTTTAATTATATCAGATTCGGGCTCACCAACCCACCACGCTAGTATGATGACTATGGACAGTATTTTAAAGTTACAACATTGTACATGTGCACATTCACTGACTTTAAATATTTTAAATTACTCAGACATGACTATTGTTCCCCCACACATTGTTTCCCCACATTTTTCCTTCACCTACTGAGCACACTAGAAAGCGGCACTTAATATTAAAATTACAACAAAGTTGATGCATACGAGAAATGAACTTTTATCACTCTTTCTAAGCTACTACAATCTCTTCATTCCCAATAATGTCGTTAATTTGATACATAACATTTTCTTAATTACAAATACTATATAAGGAAATTTATGTAGGCAATCGCACTAGTCCCGCATTAGCACTTGTAATGTCCATTTGTAAAATAACCAGACCCCATTAATGAAATAGCCCGACCAAAAATGTCTATTATGCATTCCGCATTCTTAACATAATTCTGCATTATGCTTCATTCTATTTACTTAAAGCCTTAAGCTACCGTGTCAATCAATTTATATGGAGTATTGCATTTAAAACCTGACTGAGTTTAAGTGTTTAGAAGGAAAGGAGAGAAAAAGCAGTGCAGGCCTTGAAAAACAATACAATATTGTTTAAATAATACTAGTTTTTACGGATTTTATCGCGTATATTAACGTTTTTATATACCCGACGTTTCGAGCACTTTACAGCACCCATGGTCACGGGGAGGGGGGGGAGGAGACTGATATGTTCAACGTCTAGGTGTGAACATATAGCTGATATGAAGAATCGAGGTTCTGGAAAGTCTGCAGTCTGTGAACACGTACAGGATCGCCCCCGTCACTACATCAGATTTGATAGACCACAAATCCTCGCTAAAGAACACCGATTCCTTCCAACGATGATTCACGAGGCTATTGAAATCAAAAAATATCCTTATTTCAACAGAGAAGATGGCTGGGTCTACCATCTGCTTGGGATCCTATAATTAATAAAAGTAAATCCCAACCCAAGCATACAACTGCAAGACTTCAAGATACTATAAGTTCGTACTGTGTAGATCGAAAAACAATAATTGTAGTGTGGTAACCGCGGTTAACTACGACATCTGGACATTCAACATCTCATCCCCCCCCCCCGTGCCCGTGGGTGCTGTAAAGTGCTCGAAACGTCGGGTATATAATAAGTTAATATAGCGATAAAATTCGTAAAAACTAGTAATATTTAAATGTGTAGTGTCCGCGCAAATGTAAGAAATCATTAAATGAAAAATTGTGCCTCGGTATTATTAATCTAAAAGTATAATTATGTAATAGCTACCGGCGACTCGCCCCGGATTCTCTTGTTTAAGATCTATTAACGTGGCGTCTTTGAAGGCAACCAAGCTCAGAAGAGCTAGACCCCAGAGCCGTAAAGCCAGTTAATAAAAAAATTAAGGCAACCATTTTCATTTTATGAATTATTCGATTTTTTTTTAAATTCTACAAGTTTTCCGGATAAAATATAGCCTAGATCACACCGGGCATCGCTCTCCGTTCTTGAATCTGTTCATGAAGTATCATTACAATTAGTTCAGTCAATCCGAAGATTAGCCCGGACAGAGATAGACAGACAAAAATTTAAAAATAAAGGTTATTTTGTCATAACGTCACGCAAACGACCCCCTCACTCAGCTTAAAGGCAGTTATTTCAATATCATAGACGGACACTTGCTAAATGCAAAGATGTACAGATAATCTTACATTCCATCTTTCGGCGCATTTCTTCGAAAACGCAGCGAATATGACGTTCTCTTCTGGGTGTTTCTTTTTGTGTTCCTCACGACATGTCTGCACGAAGAAGGCATACGCGGTCATCCTACCGCGTGGCTTGTTATACGCTCGCGCTCGTGGCATTCTCACTTTTGATGTCCGGTGTAGCTCTTGCTGTTGTTGAGCCTGTTGTTGTAATTCCTAAAACACAAAAAGATATTCCTTTCACATCAATAATCACTTCAACTACGTAATTGTGTTAAATCCGTCAAGATATGTTGCAATTACATTAAAAAAAACCTCAAACGCAAACAATTAATTTCTAAATCCATCCATCCATCACCGTCCACTGCAGAACATAGGCCTCCCCCATAAATTGACCCTTAGGGGGGATATTGCCATAGTTGCCACGCTTGGCAGGCGTGTTGGCAACTGCAGTTTTTTTTATTATTGTGAGTAGTTACTAGGAATATGCCGCTGTCCACCTCCTGTTTCAGTTTCCCTCCTAAATACATTGGTGTAAAATAAATTATCGGCTTTTGGTCAAGACACTATACAACATTTAACAAATACCCTGGTGTTACTGTTACGTGTGTTATCAGAATAAATATTCAAACGAATAGACTTTAGAAAACTAGACCTTAAAAATTTTATGAAATAATTTTTATTTGCATTTTGTATATGGGTTTATTACCTCTGCGTTGACCTAGAGTAAGAAAGAGTAAGTATTGTCAAAGACCCTGCAGTACCTATGGGCGTAAGTTCAGACGTGAGTAACATTTTTTCACAATATTGAATTTAGTTAGTTACCTATTGTGAACATTAATATCCTTTTATTAACAACTAAAAATTAATCTCTGTCATAAAGACTTCCCTAAAACAATCACCGAGTTGTTTGATGCAACTGAATATTGTCCCGTGTCCGTGATTTTACGTTCAAACCTTCATTTGATTTTATCACATAGTAATGATGACGGAATTCTGCCGGATTCATGGACAACTGTAACTAACTTCAAACCATAAAGACTAATGTCTCTCTATAGCCTTCAGACCAGAACACAACTGTGCAAGCACTGCTATTTAGATACAGGAATAGGTAAGAGGCTGGTACTCATTCAGGATTCCTACTACCTTGAATGGTAGTACTCCCTTTGTCCTTTTCTGCCGAGGTAACGCTGCATATTAACGGGGCAATCTACTCGTGTCATAAGAACGACGACGAATCATAAGTCAAAACGAGTATATTAGATCCTCTTGGTAGAGTATCATTGTACTGTAGTGTAGTATAGCGATGTCTCACCCCCCTGCCTCGGAAAGCACGTAAAGCCGTTGGTCCTGCGCCTGATCTCTCTCCGGTCGTGTCGATTTCCGTCCCATCGGATTATGAGAGTGGGGGAGTAGCGAGTTCACCTGTGCTTGCGCATACACGTGGGCACAATAATCCTGTTCTGTGCTGATGGCTAGCCTCCGTTGAGGCAGGCCGCCGTGACCGAAATTCGGTATGGAATTTCGGACACTTGCAATTATTGCAGTTATGACAAGTGAGTGACTCATTATGCGGGTATTAAAATGACAGTATAATTGTATTGTCATTATGCAATGTCATTAAACGCATAATGAAATATAATTATATAATTTAAACACATAAGGTATTAAAAAAATTAAAACACTATGTCCTGCACCATGTACCCATACTGGTAAATTGGTATTTGAAATCATAAGAACATTGGAGACGTAGCGTCACAGCGTCCACTAACCTTCAGGTGGACTTTAGTTTGTTTCTCGTTCATTAAAAGAGAAAAACGCAAAACATTTACATACTTACACAAATAATACAGTTCGATACTACATACCTGTAACGTAGCTGACTGTCGCTGTAAAGCGGCTTGAATCTGTTGTTGCTGGACAGCCTGTATGTGGTCATGCAGATTTTGCTGTTGTTGTTGAAATGACTGAACAACTTGCTGTTGCAACGCGGCCTGAGCCTGTGCGAGAGCGTTCGCCTGCGCTTGGCTTACGTGTAACTGTTGTAGGTTCTGCGCATTCTGTTGATCTTGTGAGTGTTGAATATTTTGATGCTGTTGTTGATGTTGTTGATGCTGTTGTTGTTGCTGCTGTTGTTGCTCTTGTAGCATTTGTTGCAGGGTCTGTTGATTATGCTGCTGTTGCTGCAACGTTTGCTGTAAAGTCTGACTTTGTTGTTGCAGCGCCTGCTGTAGGCTTTGTTGTTGCTGTTGCAACTGATTCTGTTGTTGAATCGCCTGATTTTGCTCTTGTTGTTGCTGTTGCTGCTGCTGTTGTTGTTGCTGTTGTAACGATTGATGGTTTTGTAAACCGTTAGCCTGTTGGTTGCTCTGCTCGGGATCCGGGCTTGATTGATTTTGGGGCTGAAACAATCACAATTTTCCCTTATTACAATTCGTTATAAAACTTACAACATATTTAGTTCGTAATGTTTCTTTGTGCTTCGATGCTGGTGTATGATTATTGATATTTTTATTTATGCATCAGCATAATGAATATTTACGTATATTTGATACCTGATAATACCAATTAAAAGCCACAACACCGGTGTCTAGGGATAATACATTATTGTTTGATGAACACCTGGTCGTGAGACCAGGGACTAAATCTATATCGAGGTGGAACAGTCATCACACCTATGAATTGGCGAGAAAATTGACCTCATTTAGCAGTGGGTGAAACAACATAATAAGATGACCCAGTACTGGCTCGCCCAGTCCCTGGATTTAAACACGATTGAACCGTAGGAGACAGGCTTTAAAAAACTTTCCCGAAAATCTGGTGAACTTCGCATGCCACCTTGTCGCCTTATTACCTCAAAGGGAGATATTGATAGCCTCATTTTGACTATGAATATCGGTATTAACATCCGAAGTGCATTTACTCAATTATTAATTTATATTATTTAACAAATTGAATATGTATTTCATTTAATTTTTTTTTCTGTTATTATAAATAAGAAAAAACTGAAAATATATTAGTACCAAAGCAACTTTTTTAAGAGCCATTTTTAAAGAAGAATATGATTTTATCTCCTATAAGAATATAAAATACTGTTTATTTTAATATAAGGTTGTTTCCAGAAATTCTATGTGGCTTGTTTTCAATTCACGAATAACAAAGTCCATAATATCCCTAGGTTTTGTTGATGTCCTTATAGTTCGTATAATTATAACTTAAAAAATAATCTATTATGATTATTATTGTGATGATATATGATAAATGATTTATAACCTATATTTATTCAAAATTTCTAAATTTAAATCTTTTACTTAGTTTATTTACTATATATTTTTCATTATATTATATAATATTATTGCTTATTATTTGGTGGTAGGTTTTAACGGATCTGATAAGACATGCAGAAAGTCGATGGATGCAAGTGGCTCAGGACCGTGCTCTGTGGCATTCCTTGGGGGAGGCCTATGTTCAGCAGTAGACTTGTGAAGAGCTGTAATGATGATGATGAGGTTTTAACGGCATCGACAGAACAGCAGTGTTGCAGCAGCAACGCAGTTGCAAGAAACATGCGTAACGCTGAATTAAATGGCTGAGCCATATTTTAATTCAATATTGCATAATACTTATTGAAAGTCATTTTTTATTTAGCACTAGTTCTAAAAAAACTCTGTCTTGGAAAGAACCAGCAAGAAACCTAGTAGTTTTTAAACATGTTTTACTTTACAATAATTTATTATGTACAATTTTTTAATTAATTTGCATAGAAGCAGCATCGTGGCGATCACCTCATTCCCAGGGGTTATTTTCATTTCTGTATTCTTTGATATTATTATAACCCTTTTTGTACAATTTTTCTTTAATAAAACATTTAAACTTGTTTAATGACAAATTATGCACAATTTCTGGGATTTTGTTGTAAAAGCGTATACATTGCCCCATAAATGATTCTAATTCTGTGGAGTCGAGTAACTGGTATTACAAGCTTATGTTTGTTCCTAGTGTTTAAAGTATGAAGATATTTATGTTTATAAAAGCTATACATCCATTAAAAACATCCAAAGTTAATATGTTTACTAAGGGACTCTTTACATTTTAAGTTATAAATCTCCCGTACGGTTCTTTCTTACTTTTTTTCTTTTTATTTTCTCCCACATATGATGATGAATACAATAAACTAAGTAACATTGAACTTATAGAACTAAATAACAGCTATAAATACATTTATATAGTTATACAGGAAGATCTAGATAGGAGGCTGGTGCCTAAACTAGGTTTCCACATGCTATGGGATCACTAAGTCAATCCCTCAACAGAAAAAATTATGCGGTAAAACATTAAAAAATCCGTATACATTTAAGAATCAATGTCCAAGAGTGGAAACACAAAATGGTATGGGTGAAGATTCTCTAACGCCACCATCAATAAAAATGACCTTTATTATTTCCATACAAATAAATACTATTTAAAATTGTATAGTGGCGGTTAATAATATCCACTACTCTATATCTTCCCGTGGGTATCGTAAGAGGCGGCAGAGGGAAACAGGCAGGAGATGGGCAGCAGCATATTCCTGATAACAGCACGAAATAAGAAAAAAAACTGCGGTTAGAACTATGATAAACACAACATTACTCGTAATCTCTGGCTTGTGCAAAATTGTGTGAATATATTAAAACAGTAATGGTACAAAATATTTATTACTTGTAGTTACTAATGTACAGCTGACTCTCGTTAAATCGAAACTCGAGACTCTTAAATATTACGAATTATCGAGTGTTCGAAATATCAAATGGTTCGATATTTTGAGAGATAATAAATAAAACTTCAAATTGTTAAGTGTTGATAAATTATTATTTATTAACTGCTATTCTTTAAACAAAAGTTTAAAGGTTCATTCGTGTACATATTCATAATGTAAATTAATTAAATTAATCTTTCGAAAGAACTCTGTTATACTGGTTCGCTTCAAAACACATTGATGCTGCTCAGACTGCTCAATAACTATTTAAAGACAAAAAGTGCCTTAAATGCTTTTTTATTACTTTCGATTTGTAGACAGAGACGCTTTGTAAGGTATCGAATAAGGCTCTTGCTTACTTAACTGACACCTCTGCCAAAGGTTCTGATGTATCGTCCTCATCTTCATCATTGCTTGTTCATTCCTATCTGTCGCAGATAAAATTTCGCCATCGGTTAGTGAACTTGTGACAGCATCATCTTCATCCACTTGAAAAGTCAGTAAAACTCACACCTGATGTCAACTAGTGGTGCTATTGCTGGTTCTTCATCATCCAAAATTATTAGAAGATTTTCCTGATATTCTTTTACAAAATCGGATTTTTTGAAGCAGTTTAGAATCGTCAGGGGTGGTTGCCCTCTCCATGCATTGTCAATCAGTAAAATAGCTGTCAGAACCGTGATATTCACAGTTAGCTGCTAGTCGAGAGATTCTAAAACAAGCACTAGATATATGTGCTTACAATCTTTCTGTCTCTTTCTCTCTGCGACTTTGAATTGGCGAGTGTTTGACGCCGATGAGTTCGACTTAACGCATCGTTTTGTTACGTAGCACATGACTTTTTCGTTCGAATTACAAAGTGCATAAAAATGTATTTATTTATAAGAATTATAAAGAGATTTTGGAGGGAATTCGTGATAACTTTGAATTACAGAGAGGTTCGAATTATCGCAGGTTTGAATAAACGAGAGTCGACTGTATATGTAATTATTTTAGTAATGGTATGTAGTGGTTCCTAAAATTGTAGCTCGCAATTTAAATTAAGAAAAGATAATTCGGCGTTTAGAATGCTAAAAATAAAATGTATGTATTTATTTACATATCAATTAGTTTATCATATCATATATTTGGTTTGTTTTCTTTGAAAATCTTTAGAAATATTAATTTTATAAAAATTTTACAACAGTTTCTTCAATTATAAGTGCTTCTTTTAATTACAAACAGTAAAAAAAAATCATTTTCCTCCTCATTCGCGCAATATTCTTAAAAAGAGCAAGTATAAAGTTTTATCTTCACGTATTAAATTATGGATTACTATATCTTAACAATGTACGTATACCTACTAAGCTCAACTAGTCCCTGTGGCCCTATGCATTATGTAAAGATACGTCGTCCTTCAGCCGATTTCGATGACGACATTAATCTACGCAGTTATTACACGTATCTGTATTCCACAAAATGTACCCATAAGATCAATTTTAATACAAAAATCTTGCAGTTTTACCCAAAATATAAGCTCTTGTATTCGAAATCATGTCTACTTGATCAATAAATAATTTTCGTAACAATCAATGAAGCCACACAGCCGCGATGTACTGTGAAGACAAACAGAAAATCGTATTTTATGCATCGACTAGAACAGGGAAAAAGGAACTACTTAATACGACCAGAGGGAGTGAAAATGCACAAAGGTTATTTTTAAATAATAAGGGTGACAAACGAGCCCACAGTCCACCTAAAGGGAATTGGATGTATCGGCCCATAGACACCTAAATCTATTTTCGATTAAGAACATTTTATACGTGGTAGAGCCATGTTGCAGTTATATTAGATGTATAGTTGTATACGTGGTAGAGCCATGCTGCAGTTATATTAGATGTATAGTTGTAGCACGAATGGGTCGACTCGAGAAGACCCACCCTAAAAAGCTTAATGCTGCTGTATTTCGTATGGTGAGTGTAGAGAACCGGAAACCCTTTTTACTGGAAACGAGGCATTCCATCTTAGTCCTCACGGGTGACAACGCATTTGCATTTTGATTCGTAATCGAGAATAGATGTAGATGTCTATGGGCCACAGCAACCACTTACCATCAGGTGGACTGTGTGCTCGTTTGTCACCCTATCCTATAAAAAAAAGAATAAAAATGTAGATGCGTTAACATAAGATTAAATCCCTAGATTCCAGTAAAACGTCTCCTATTTTCTCCATTCACTATATGTAACATAGCAGCATTAAGCTGTTATTTTACGATGGTATTCCGTGAGAGTACCTAGTATCCTTCCCGGGTCAAGCCGACCCATTCGTACTACAACCATTATGTATATAGCTGCAGCTTGACTCTACAAATTATTAAAGATATGGTTTGCCGGTAAATTACAGTCATGATAGCAATCATAATTGATCAAACTGGACGCAGTGATAATATATTACAGTGTGTGGCAGACTGAATAGCACATACGTGCTCGAAATATTTTATTCCTTAGACATGCGGGTTTCATCATGATGATTAATGATATTTATCTTTTATCAGTTTAGCACTTGAAATTAAAATGGTGATTTTGAAAATATTTTCTTCACTTTTATATTAGCACGATAAGCGCAATGGCTAAGCATTGGACTACTGGAGCAAGTACATATTTGTATGTCCTACAAATTTTGTTC